TGAGCTTTTTTAAATGATCAGCCATTTCTAACTGGCATGAGATGGTATATCATTGTGGTTTGATTTGCATTCTTCTGATGGCCAGAGATGATAAGCATTTTTTCATGTGTCCTGTTGGCTGCATAAAATGTTTCTTTTGATAAGTGTCTCTGTTATCCTTCGCCACTTTTTGATGGTGGTTGTTTGATTTTTTTTCTTGTAATTTTGTTTAAAGTTCTTGTAGATTCTGGATATTAGCCCTTGTCAGATGGGTAGATGGCAAAAATTTTTTCTCCCATTCTGTAGGTGCCTGTTCACTTCTGATGGGTAGTTTCTTTTGCTGGGCAGAAGCTTTTTTAATTAAGATCCCATTTGTTCAATTTTGGCTTTTGTTGCCATTTACTTTTGGTGTTTTAAGTCATTTGACAGTCCTGTGGCCTATGCCTATGTCCTGAATTGGTAACTGCCTAGGGTTTTCTTTAGGGGTTTTTATGGGTTTTAGTTGGACATTTTAATCTTTAATCCATTCTTGAAATTAAATTTTTGTATAAGTGTAAGGAAGGGATCCCAATTCAGCTTTCTACTTATGGCTAGCCAGTTTTCTCAGCACCCATTTATCTAAATAGGGAATCCTTTCCCATTTTCTTGTTTCTCTCAGGTTTATCAAAGATCAGAATGGTTGTAGACGTCAGGAAACAACAGGTGCTGGAGAGGATGTGGAGAAATAGGAACACTTTTACACTGTTGGTGGGATTGTAAACTAGCTCAACCATTGTGGAAGACAGTGTGGCAATTCCTAAAGGATCTAGAACTAGAAATACCATTTGACCCAGCAATCCCATTACTGGGGATATACCCGAAGGATTATATATCATGCTGCTATAAAGACACATGCACACGTATGTTTATTGCAGCACTGTTCACAATAGCACAGACTTGGAACCAGCTCAAATGTCCATCAATGATAGACTGAATTAAGAAAATGTGGCACGTATACACAATGGAATACTATGCAGCCATAAAAAAGGATGAGTTCATGTCCTTTGTAGGGACATGGATGAAGCTGGAAATCATCATTCTCAGCAAACTGTCACAAGGACAGAAAACCAAACACCGCATGTTCTCACTCATAGGTGGGAATTGAACGATGAGAAGACTTGGACACAGGATGGGCAACATCACACACCGAGGCCTGTTTTGGGGTGAGAGGAGGTGGGAAGGATAGCATTAAGAGATATATCTAATGTAAATGATGAGTTAGTGGATGCAGCACACCAACATGGCACATTTATACATATGTAACAAACCTGCACGTTGTGCACATGTACCCTAGAACTTAAAAGTATAATAATAATTTTTTTAAAAAGGAAATTAAGAGAAAAAGTTTAATTCTTAATGAGAGAGAAACTAGAAACCATTGAGAGGACAGTCAAAATCAAAAGCTGTTTTTTAAGAGAAACAGAAAAACACATAATAAAATTGAGTTGCTTTTAGTAAAATTGCTCAAGACAAAATGAAATATGAATAAATAATGAAAGAGAATATTAGACTTTTTAATCCTCCAAATGCAAGTCTTATTTAATATTTGTAAAAAAAAAAAAATTGACCTGAATTATGTGTAACTTTTTGGAAAGTGTAATCTGATATCAGAATCATTAAAATACAACTCCATTGTAAAGTTGTACAGAAGGTTATAGAGATTATATTGTGATGCTAGAACTTGGAGTGAGACTACATCATTTGGCATTTGAGTTTAATGGTCATTCACAGTAATGCTGCCTGTTGTTTGGAGCTTAAAGACACCTGACCTGTTTGGGCTGTTGCCACTCAAAAGTTCATGACCACAGATGTCCACAGTGTCTTCCTCTGAAGAAACTCGAATCCTGAAATTTAAATTCTTTGTGGCAGATTAACTGGCTTATGACACCTTAAAAAGTTCAAGTGCTCATATAACACACCTGACTAAATC